GTATTTATTTTTGGTGCATCTAATGGTAACCACAAAGCCTGTAATATACTAAAGGTGGCGCTGTTCTACTTATAAAATGAGCACATGAAACCAATGACAGTGAATAGCTGTCATCAGGGCAGATCGTGAAACAAGCAGAGAGCTCCGTGGTGCTGAACCTCCACTCCGAAATAGCGGTTTTCTTTCATTTAACGCAAAAACTAAAATCGGGATTCCTACTGCATGTCTATGTTTGGGATTAAGGCTATTACAGGAATATTCAATTACACTGAAAACGTATATTACATCGTCTGAGGTGCTGTGAACCAGCACACAACAATGGGTTCCTTTGTAACAATGCAGTCTTGCAGAAGGTACGTAGTGCTGGTTATTTTTCTTTCTTTCATTCGTAACATATCGACTTCAGTGACACATTATTCAATACCGGAGGAAATGAAAGAAGGATCAGTTGTAGCTAACATTGCTACCGATCTCAGCCTGGATGTAAATACACTGAATCAGAGGAAGATGCGTCTTGACATTATTGCAAATAAGAAATATCTGGATGTGAACAAAGAGACTGGAGAACTGTATATCGCTGAGAAGATAGACAGGGAAAATATTTGCCCTACAAAGTCTACAGCGTCTTGTTATCTCAAACTGGAAGTAATACTAGAAAACCCAGTTCGCATTTTTAATATAGAGGTAGAAATGTTGGATATGAACGACAACGCCCCTCAGTTTCGGAGAGACGCCATACATTTAGATATATCTGAAGCAACGCCAAAAGGAGAGCGATTCTCTCTCAGCAATGCAGTTGATCCTGATGTCGGAAGCAATTCAGTAAAAACCTACCATCTGAGTGAAAGTGAACATTTTAATATTGAAGTTCAGACTGGAAGAGATGGATCGAAATTTGCAGAATTAATCTTAACAAAGAGTTTAGACCGAGAGCAGCAGGCTGTGCATAATTTAATTCTCACAGCTGTAGACGGAGGCACACCTGCACGTTCTGGCACTGCAAGTGTTATCGTTCGTGTTTTAGACACAAATGACAACACTCCTACTTTTGACAAAACAAATTACAGCCTAAAAATCATGGAAAATTCTCCCATTGGAAGCCTGGTTGTTCATCTCAATGCAACAGACCTAGACCAGGGGTCCAATTCTGATATAACATACTCCTACAGTTTATATACATCAGAGAAAACGCAGGAAACATTTAATCTGAATCCTTCCTCTGGTGAAATTACTGTTAAAGGAATGTTAAATTATGAGGATTTCAGGATGTATGATATGGAAGTTATAGCAACAGATAAAGGAGTCAATAGTTTATCAGGACAATGCACTGTAAAAATTCTGGTTGAAGACATGAATGACAACCACCCAGAAATATCTATTAAATCCTTTCAGAGTCCAGTCAATGAAAACATAGAATTAGACACAGTGATAGCAGTGGTGAGTGTCAGTGATAAAGACTCAGGGGACAATGGAGTGGTTGATCTTCACATTCCAGACAACATGCCTTTCAAACTGAGGGAGTCCTCTGATAACTATTATGAATTAGTGGTGTCAGAGCCGTTAGACCGTGAGAGGGTCCCTGAATATGACATCACTTTCACTGTGACAGACAGAGGCTCTCCTCCTTTATCTGACAATGAAACAATGACCTTAGAGCTGCTGGATGTTAATGACAATGTGCCTCAGTTCCCTCAGTCATTTTATACTATACGTGTGGAGGAGAATAACGCTCCTGGAGCCCTGCTCAGTTCCCCAACTGCGTTTGACCCTGACCTCCATGAAAACCAGTATCTAGTGTATTTCATCCTAGAGAGGGAGATAGCCAACACCTCCATGTCCATGCTGTTCTCCATCAACCCAGAGAACGGGAATCTTTACGCACTTAAAACGTTTGACTATGAGATTGAGAAGGAGTTTCTCTTCCACATCGAGGCCAGAGACTCTGGCTCTCCTCCTCTCAGCAGTAACGTGACGGTGCACATCATCATTGTGGACCAGAACGACAACGCTCCGGTTATTGTCTCTCCGTGGCGCGCACACGGCTCGGTGGTGGAGGAAAAGATCCCCAGATCCACAGATAAAGGCTCTCTGGTTTCTAAAGTGATAGCCTTGGACACAGACTCGGTGCACAACTCCCGGATCACCTACCAGTTCCTGCAGGTGACTGACGCCACCTTGTTCAGTCTGGACCAATACAATGGAGAGATCCGGACCATGAGGATGTTCAGCTACAGAGACCCGCGCCACCAGAGACTGGTTGTCATTGCCAAGGACAACGGGGAGCCTGCCCTCTCTGCTACAGTCACCATCAAGCTGTCCACAGTGGAGACTGCCGTGAAGGCCTACTCTGACATGACCGAGGTGCCTCTAGAATATGACATCTTCTCAGACCTCAACCTGTACCTGGTCATCGGTCTGGGCTCCGTGTCATTTCTCCTGCTGATCACCATATTGGTCACCATCGTGATCAAGTGTCAGAAACCCAAGCCCAGCAAAGCGGCTCCTCCCTGCAGGAACAGTGTGATCAGTGAGGGGAACTCCACCATCGCAGACTCCACTCTGGTCTCCAACGACGCCTACTGGTACAGTATGCTTCTAGCAGAGACCAGGAAAGGAAAGATGGTGGTCAGGCAGCCTGTGCCAAAGGGCTCCAGATACATCGTGTCCAGTTTACCACGAGGCACTGGACTCACAGACACAAGTGGATCAGCAGCCTCCACCCTGCAGGTATGACCATATAGTTCTAACTTGTCTCGTACAATCTTGTGTTCGTCATAACGTAGCGTGCCATATAACATTGTAGAATCAAATCAAATCAAATCAAGGTTTATTTATAAAGCACATTTAGAAGCGATTTTTGGTCGGGCCAAAGTACTGTACATGTAATAACTACAATCACATAAAAACACATTTCTATAATCACAATAAAAGACAATAAATAAAACACAGGGAAAAGTCAGGACTCGTGCTCCGCTCTGACTAAAAGGCCAGGGAGAAGAAGTGTGTTTTTAGTGTAGATTTAAAAACCCCTAGGGTCTGGGCCGACCTCACATGGAGGGGCAGAGTGTTCCAGAGCCTCGGGCCAGCTGCTGCGAAGGCTCGGTGCCCTCGGGTTTTGAGCCTGGTCTTGGGCACTACCAGCAACAGCTGGTCAGCAGACCTTAAAGCTCTTGTTGGGGTGTAGCGCTGGAGGAGTTCAGCTATATAGGCCGGAGCCAGCCCATTTAGTGCTTTAAAAACAAATAAAAGGAGTTTAAAATCAATTCGGAACCGAACTGGAAGCCAGTGCAGTGAGGCCAGAATTGGGGTGATGTGGTCACGCTTTTTGTGGCCAGTGAGTAGACGTGCACCTGCGTTCTGGACTAGCTGCAGGCGTTTAATTGACGCCTGGTCCATTCCCACGTACAGAGCGTTGCAGTAGTCCAACCTTGAGGTAACAAAGGCATTAATAACCCTTTTCAGGTCCTCAAACGATAAAAACGACTTAGTCTTGGCCAATAGTCATATTTTAAAAAAGCAGGTTTTTACTACGCTGCTGACCTGCTTATCGAATTTAAAAGCGCTATTGAAGGTCACTCCAAGGTTCGTGACAGAGGGGAGGATATTATTTTTGAGGGAGCCCAGAATATCAACCTGGGAGGCTAGAGGTTGGGGTCCAAAAAAGATAACCTCAGTCTTGCTCTCATTGAGGTTGAGGACATTTTGGCTCAGCCAGGATTTGATCTCTGCTAAGCAGTCCATCAATAGCTGTAATGAGTTAACATTTGAATTGAGTGGCAGATAGATCTGTACATCGTCGGCGTAGCAGTAGAAGGTTTGAAATATAACGTTATCAAAACAAAGTTGACAAACAAATAACCAACATAATTATATTTAACAATATCTGCAGCAGTCTCTCATGTTGTGCTCACCTTTAAACTTTAATCTGTGCTTTTTAAGCATCCCCATTACATTATCCATCAATTTTCAAAGAGCTGTGTTTTACATTAGACAAAACGTAACCCACGGTCACCTTGAGAGAGAACCATTGGAAAAACGTTAAAGCGTCAAACAACCGGACAGCTCCGTGGTGCTGAAGTTCTCATTAAAAGACATCCTCGCTATTTTCCAGGTGACAATATCGCCCAAATTCAATTTCATCAATAGTGTTGGATTGACAACGTTATAAAGCATCTTTGTAAATCAGTGTACATGTGCTTTATAAAGACGGTCATGTGGGTGACAGTAGAACAATAATGAGAGTATCTTTAAGAGTCAAACACCCAGATGTCATTTGTTCAAAGCCCTTAAACATCTTAATCTCAATGTTTTTACTCTGATTCTTATCAGTCATTTCTCTGGGTTTTGCACATGGTTACTACTCATCCAACGAGGAATTAAAGATGAAATGATAATAATCCAGAAAAAAAGCGTACAGGTATCTCAGTTATAAGAATATACTTAAAAGACTAAACTCTAATGTTTGAGGATAACTCGTACTACACAACACTAGGTTGATTTAAAATGATCATTCAGCAAACCCTGCTAAGATGGTGTCTTTCTTGCACAAAGCGTTGCTGTTCCCCAGTCATGTATACTCTTGTGACATCACAGTCGCCATCCGTGCGCAATTATACTTTTCATTCAAGTGACACGAGAAAATGGCGAACGAACGGCTACTGACGCTGAATTAATTTAGATTTAAAGTATCAAGCTGAGCTCAACTGTACTCATGTCATGTATTTTTCTACTTATTTTGAACCAATATTAGGTGAGATTTCATTTCGCATTTTAGAAAAGTATAGGAGACATCGTTTTTAGTTTAATAATTATTTCGAGCATATCTATTTAAAAAAACATTTTAAATCCATAAAACACATTTAAAATGTATTTATTGCTTATTGTGCCTCATGTTAAGCACATAGCCGTTAAAAAAGCAAGAGGTGGCGCTGTTTCTCTAAAATAAATCATTACACAAGCGCCATGACAGTGAATCAGGGCAGATCGTGAAACAACCGGAGAGCTCATTGGTGCTGAACCTCCACTCCGAAAACGCAATTTTCCTTTTTCATACCGAAAGAAATCCCGGGATTACGTCTGCATGAACATGTTTGGGATAAAAGCCATGATTGCAAACTGCAATATCAACGGAAACGTACATTAAATCGCCAAACGTGCAGTGATACTGCACGCAACAATGGGGTCCTCTTTAAAAATGCAGTCTTGCAGAAGGTACGTGCTGCTCGTTATTTGTCTTTCCTTCGTTCGTAACATATCGACCTCAGAGACTCATTATTCAATACCAGAAGAAATGAAGGAAGGATCAGTTTTAGCTAACCTTGCTACAGATCTCAGCCTGGATGTTAAGACACTGAATCAGAGAAAGATGCGTCTTGACAGTATTGCAAATAAGAAATATCTGGATGTGAACAAAGAGACTGGAGAACTGTATATTGTAGAGAAAATTGACAGGGAAAACATTTGCCCAAGCAAGTCATCAGCGTCTTGTTACCTCCGATTGGAGGTAATACTTGAAAATCCACTACGAATCTTTAACATAGAAGTGGAAATTTTGGATATGAACGACAACGCCCCGCAATTTCGGAGAGAGGCCATACATTTAGATATATCTGAAGCAACGCCAAAAGGAGAGAGATTCTCTCTCAGCAATGCAGTTGATCCTGACGTTGGAAGCAATTCAGTAAAAACCTACCATCTGAGTGAAAGTGAACATTTTAATATTGAAGTTCAGACTGGAAGAGATGGATCGAAATCTGCAGAATTAATCTTAACAAAGAGTTTAGACCGAGAGCAGCAGGCTGTGCATAATTTAATTCTCACAGCTGTAGATGGAGGCACACCTGCACGTTCTGGCACTGCAAGTGTTATCGTTCATGTTTCCGACACGAATGACAACACTCCTACTTTTGAAAAAAACAATTATGGTATTAAAATCATGGAAAATTCTCCCATTGGGAGTCTTGTTGTTCATCTTAATGCAACAGACTTAGATGAGGGGTCCAATTCTGATATAACATACTCCTACAGTTTATATACTTCTGAGAAAACGCAGGAAACATTTAATCTGAATCCTTCCTCTGGTGAAATTACTGTTAAAGGAATGTTAAATTATGAGGATTTCAGGATGTATGATATGGAAGTTATAGCAACAGATAAAGGAGCTAATAGTTTATCAGGACAATGCACTGTACAAATTCTGGTTGAAGACATGAATGACAACCACCCAGAAATATCTATTAAATCCTTTCAGAGTCCAGTCAATGAAAACATAGAATTAGACACAGTGATAGCAGTGGTGAGTGTCAGTGATAAAGACTCAGGGGACAATGGAGTGGTTGATCTTCACATTCCAGATAACATGCCTTTCAAACTGAGGGAGTCCTCTGATAACTATTATGAATTAGTGGTGTCAGAGCCGTTAGACCGTGAGAGGGTCCCTGAATATGACATCACTTTCACTGTGACAGACAGAGGCTCTCCTCCTTTATCTGACAATGAAACAATGACCTTAGAGCTGCTGGATGTTAATGACAATGTGCCACAGTTCCCTCAGTCATTTTATACTATACGTGTGGAGGAGAATAACGCTCCTGGAGCCCTGCTCAGTTCCCCAACTGCGTTTGACCCTGACCTCCATGAAAACCAGTATCTAGTGTATTTCATCCTAGAGAGGGAGATAGCCAACACCTCCATGTCCATGCTGTTCTCCATCAACCCAGAGAACGGGAATCTTTACGCACTAAAAACTTTTGACTATGAGATTGAGAAGGAGTTTCTCTTCCACATCGAGGCCAGAGACTCTGGCTCTCCTCCTCTCAGCAGTAACGTGACGGTGCACATCATCATTGTGGACCAGAACGACAACGCTCCGGTTATTGTCTCTCCGTGGCGCGCACACGGCTCGGTGGTGGAGGAAAAGATCCCCAGATCCACCGATAAAGGCTCTCTGGTTTCTAAAGTGATAGCCTTGGACACAGACTCGGTGCACAACTCCCGGATCACCTACCAGTTCCTGCAGGTGACTGACGCCACCTTGTTCAGTCTGGACCAATACAACGGAGAGATCCGGACCATGAGGATGTTCAGCTACAGAGACCCGCGCCACCAGAGACTGGTTGTTGTTGCCAAGGACAACGGGCAGCCTGCCCTCTCTGCTACAGTCACCATCAAGCTGTCCACAGTGGAGACTGCCGTGAAGGCCTACTCTGACATGACCGAGGTGCCTCTAGAATATGACATCTTCTCAGACCTCAACCTGTACCTGGTCATCGGTCTGGGCTCGGTGTCATTTCTCCTGCTGATCACCATACTGGTCACCATCGTGATCAAGTGTCAGAAACCCAAGCCAAGCAAAGCGGCTCCTCCCTGCAGGAACAGTGTGATCAGTGAGAGGAACTCCACCATTGCAGACTCCACTCTGGTCTCCAACGACGCCTACTGGTACAGTATGCTTCTAGCAGAGACCAGGAAAGGAAAGATGGTGGTGAGACAGCCTGTGCCAAAGGGCTCCAGATACATCGTGTCCAGTTTACCACGAGGCACTGGACTCACAGACACTAGTGGATCAGCAGCCTCCACCCTGCAGGTGAGAGTCTAATTTACACATGTCATGTGTTTTTATTTGTATTTTGTATAAATAATAGATGACATTTAATTCCCCATCTTTTTATCAGATGAAAATCTTTATTTTTCCAATATGTACTTTAAACAATATCTGTTATAAAAACCTACTTTAAATCCATAAACGACCTTTAAAAACGTTTTATTTTTTATGCACCTAATGGTTAGCACAAATCCCTTAAAAAACAAAAGGTGGCGCTGTTTTACAAATAAAAACTGCTCATGAACGCCATGACAGTGAATAGCTGACATCGGGCCAGATCTTAAAAACAAGCGTAGTGCTCCGTGGTGCTGAACCTCGACTCCGAAATAGCGGTTTTCCTTGTTTTTCGCAAAAGAAAAATCGTGATTAACACTGCAGAATTATGCTTGGGATTCATGCCATTACAGACAAATTCAACATCACTGGAAACGTAGATTATATCGTCTGAAGTGCTGTGAACCAGCACACAACAATGGGTTCCTTTGTAACAATGCAGTCTTGCAGAAGGTACGTTGTGCTGGTTATTTTTCTTTCTTTCATTCGTAACATATCGACATCAGTGACACATTATTCAATACCGGAGGAAATGAAAGAAGGATCAGTTGTAGCTAACATTGCTACGGATCTCAGCCTGGATGTTAAGACACTGAATCAGAGGAAGATGCGTCTTGACATTGTTGCAAATAAGAAATATCTGGATGTGAACAAAGAGACTGGAGAACTGTATATTGTAGAGAAGATTGACAGAGAATACATGTGTCTTGCAAAGTCGTCTTGTTATCTCAAACTGGAGGTTATACTAGAAAATCCAGTCCGCATTTTTAATATAGAAGTAGAAATTCTGGATATGAACGACAACGCCCCGCAATTTCGGAGGGACACCATACATTTAGATATATCTGAAGCAACGCCGAAAGGAGAGCGATTCTCTCTCAGCAATGCAGTTGATCCTGATGTCGGAAGCAATTCAGTAAAAACATACCATCTGAGCGAAAGTGAACATTTTAATATTGAAGTTCAGACTGGAAGAGATGGGTCAAAATTTGCGGAATTAATCTTAACAAATAGTTTAGACCGGGAGCGGCAGGCTGTGCATAATTTAATTCTCACAGCTGTAGACGGAGGCACACCCGCACGTTCTGGCACTGCAAGTGTTATCGTTCGTGTTTTAGACACAAATGACAACACTCCTACTTTTGACAAAATAAATTACAGTATTAAAATCATGGAAAATTCTCCGATTGGAAGCCTGGTTGTTCATCTCAATGCAACAGACTTAGATGAGGGGTCAAATTCTGATATAACATACTCCTACAGTTTATATACATCAGAGAAAACGCAGGAAACATTTAATCTGAATCCTTCCTCTGGTGAAATTACTGTTAAAGGAATGTTAAATTATGAGGATTTCAGGATGTATGATATGGAGGTTATAGCAACAGATAAAGGAGCTAATAGTTTATCTGGACAATGCACTGTAAACATTCTGGTTGAAGACATGAATGACAACCACCCAGAAATATCTATTAAATCCTTTCAGAGTCCAGTCAAAGAAAACATAGAATTAGACACAGTGATAGCAGTGGTGAGTGTCAGTGATAAAGACTCAGGGGACAATGGAGTGGTTGATCTTCACATTCCAGACAACATGCCTTTCAAACTGAGGGAGTCCTCTGATAACTATTATGAATTAGTGGTGTCAGAGCCGTTAGACCGTGAGAGGGTCCCTGAATATGACATCACTTTCACTGTGACAGACAGAGGCTCTCCTGCTTTATCTGACAATGAAACAATGACCTTAGAGCTGCTGGATGTTAATGACAATGTGCCACAGTTCCCTCAGTCATTTTATACTATACGTGTGGAGGAGAATAACGCTCCTGGAGCCCTGCTCAGTTCCCCAACTGCGTTTGACCCTGACCTCCATGAAAACCAGTATCTAGTGTATTTCATCCTAGAGAGGGAGATAGCCAACACCTCCATGTCCATGCTGTTCTCCATCAACCCAGAGAACGGGAATCTTTACGCACTAAAAACTTTTGACTATGAGATTGAGAAGGAGTTTCTCTTCCACATCGAGGCCAGAGACTCTGGCTCTCCTCCTCTCAGCAGTAACGTGACGGTGCACATCATCATTGTGGACCAGAACGACAACGCTCCGGTTATTGTCTCTCCGTGGCGCGCACACGGCTCGGTGGTGGAGGAAAAGATCCCCAGATCCACCGATAAAGGCTCTCTGGTTTCTAAAGTGATAGCCTTGGACACAGACTCGGTGCACAACTCCCGGATCACCTACCAGTTCCTGCAGGTGACTGACGCCACCTTGTTCAGTCTGGACCAATACAATGGAGAGATCCGGACCATGAGGATGTTCAGCTACAGAGACCCGCGCCACCAGAGACTGGTTGTTGTTGCCAAGGACAACGGGCAGCCTGCCCTCTCTGCTACAGTCACCATCAAGCTGTCCACAGTGGAGACTGCCGTGAAGGCCTACTCTGACATGACCGAGGTGCCTCTAGAATATGACATCTTCTCAGACCTCAACCTGTACCTGGTCATCGGTCTGGGCTCCGTGTCATTTCTCCTGCTGATCACCATACTGGTCACCATCGTGATCAAGTGTCAGAAACCCAAGCCAAGCAAAGCGGCTCCTCCCTGCAGGAACAGTGTGATCAGTGAGAGGAACTCCACCATCGCAGACTCCACTCTGGTCTCCAACGATGCCTACTGGTACAGTATGCTTCTAGCAGAGACCAGGAAAGGAAAGATGGTGGTCAGGCAGCCTGTGCCAAAGGGCTCCAGATACATCGTGTCCAGTTTACCACGAGGCACTGGACTCACAGACACTAGTGGATCAGCAGCCTCCACCCTGCAGGTGAGAGTCTAATTTACACGTCATGTGTTTTTATTTGTATTTTGTATACATAATAGATAACATTTAACTACTTATCTATTTTGAGATGAAAAATCTTTATTTTTAAAACATTTACTTTAAACAATATCTGTTAGAAAAACCTGTTTTAAATCCACATACGACATTTAAAAAACGAATAATTTTTGTATGCAGCTAATGGTTAGCACAAATCCCTTAAAAAACAAAAGGTGGCGCTGCTTTACAAATAAAAACTGCTCATGAACGTCATGACAGTGAATAGCTGACATCAGGGCAGATCGTGAAACAAGCGGAGTGCTCCGTGGTGCTGAACCTCCACTCGGAAATAGCGGTTTTCCTTGTTTTTCGCAAAAGAAAAATCGTGATTACCACTGCAGAATTATGTTTGGGATTAATGCCATTACAGACAAATTCAACATCACTGGAAACGTAGATTACATCGTCTGAGGTGCTGTGAACTAGCACACAGCAATGGGGTCATTTGTAAAAATGCAGTCTTGCAGAAGGTACGTGGTGCTCGTTATTTTTCTTTCTTTCGTTCGTAACATATCGACTTCAGTGACACATTATTCAATACCCGAGGAAATGAAAGAAGGATCAGTTGTAGCTAACCTTGCTACGGATCTCAGCCTGGATGTTAAGACACTGAATCAGCGGAAGATGCGTCTTGATATTATTGCAAATAAGAAATATCTGGATGTGAACAAAGAGACTGGAGAACTGTATATTGTTGAGAAGATTGACAGGGAAAATATTTGTCCCGCAAAGTCTTCTTGTTATCTCAGACTGGAGGTAATACTTGATAATCCAGTCCGCATTTTTAATATAGAAGTAGACATTTTGGATATGAACGACAACGCCCCGCAATTTCGGAGAGACGTCATACATTTAGATATATCTGAAGCAACGCCAAAAGGAGAGAGATTCTCTCTTAGCAATGCAGTTGATCCTGATGTCGGAAGCAATTCAGTGAAAACCTACCATCTGAGCGAAAGTGAACATTTTAATATTGAAGTTCAGGATGGCAGAGAGGGGTCAAAATTTGCCGATTTAATCTTAACAAAGAGTTTAGACCGAGAGCAGCAGGCTGTGCATAATTTAATTCTCACAGCTGTAGATGGAGGCACACCTGCACGTTCTGGCACTGCAAGTGTTATCGTTCGTGTTTTAGACACAAATGACAACACTCCTACTTTTGACAAAATAAATTACAATATTAAAATCATGGAAAACTCTCCCATTGGAAGTCTTGTTGTTCATCTCAATGCAACAGACCTAGATGAGGGTTCAAATTCTGATATAACATACTCCTACAGTTTATATACATCAGAGAAAACGCAGGAAACATTTAATCTGAATCCTTCCACTGGTGAAATTACTGTTAAAGGAATGTTAAATTATGAGGATTTCGGGATTTATGATATGGAGGTTATAGCAACAGATAAAGGAGCCAATAGTTTATCAGGACAATGCACTGTACACATTCTGGTTGAAGACATGAATGACAACCACCCAGAAATATCTATTAAATCCTTTCAGAGTCCAGTCAATGAAAACATAGAATTAGACACAGTGATAGCAGTGGTGAGTGTCAGTGATAAAGACTCAGGGGACAATGGAGTGGTTGATCTTCACATTCCAGATAACATGCCTTTCAAACTGAGGGAGTCCTCTGATAACTATTATGAATTAGTGGTGTCAGAGCCGTTAGACCGTGAGAGGGTCCCTGAATATGACATCACTTTCACTGTGACAGACAGAGGCTCTCCTCCTTTATCTGACAATGAAACTATGACGTTAGAGCTGCTGGATGTTAATGACAATGTGCCACAGTTCCCTCAGTCATTTTATACTATACGTGTGGAGGAGAATAACGCTCCTGGAGCCCTGCTCAGTTCCCCAACTGCGTTTGACCCTGACCTCCATGAAAACCAGTATCTAGTTTATTTCATCCTAGAGAGGGAGATAGCCAACACCTCCATGTCCATGCTCTTCTCCATCAACCCAGAGAACGGGAATCTTTACGCACTAAAAACTTTTGACTATGAAATCGAGAAGGAGTTTCTCTTCCACATCGAGGCCAGAGACTCTGGCTCTCCTC